ACCCACCGGTGGGCATGCGGTCTTTAACGTGTTAAAAGATATTTAAAAGTTCCTCTAGTTTTTCGAACCTGACATTTAAATAATATTGTGGTGTCTTAAGATATTCCAAAAATAGTTTTATTATAGAGGAAATGTTATTCCATCATACCATATTTTTCTAAAAAAATACTTGTTAATACAAAGATTTTGTGCGTAAACAATAATGAGAACGGACGAGCCAAAAATTTTCTTGCTTTGGTTGGAAGGGCATCTACAAAAATGTGAACGGCAGACCTTGTTTTTAAACCAACATTTAAGATTAAAATAGTTATTTAACATTGCTAACTTACCATAATAGGATATAGAACGGTTTTTTCTCAATTCATGTCTGTTTCGCGCCAGTCTCGTGCATCACCAATGTTCACAATATGAGCAGTCCATAAATCTGAAAACTATAATAATTGTCGTTTGTTGTATTTAGCCCGCGGGTTGTAGTTAAAAGATCTAGAGCAACATCTTGTGGAGGAATAAAAAATGACTTAGAAAAGCAAAATAAACAACAAATCCTTATACAGATTGAATCCTAAATTTAACTGTGTATAGAAATCATTAAAATAAAACACTTTTTCAAAAAATTCAAAAATAAAAACACTATAATTCCAAAATGTATTGAATACGGTCCTGTATAACTTTCGCCCATGTAATAATTTACAAAAATTAACTCTGCGGGGGATATGTTCAACATGAAAGGGATAAATAATAATACTCTCCCTATTTCATCCTCTTAGAAGTGAATTTCAACCCCTGAAGCCGATTGAGCTTGTATATGGGGAAGGGACGATTATTATTATTATTTGCCGTGGCACTCCGAGGCGACTTAATAAAGATGATTAATGGTGCCATTTGACTTACAGGTGAGCTAAATCTCACTCAACACAATTGATTTTTTCGCAGTTTTCCACACTTTTCTTTGATTTATTCCACATAATAAGTCCCCGACAATAGTATTATTTAAAATGTGTAAATTTTCAATTTACCATATTGAATAGACAAATAGACTATACTTACATTACATTAATATATTCATGATTCATATTAAAAAAAAAACAGACAGACAGAGATTCGTTTTAATGTTCAGGTCCGGTTTTAAATGTATTAATAATTCATTATCTTCATTATTGAGATTTTTCAAAAGAAATTATTTAAAGTTGAAGATGTTTATTTTAACCACTCCTATACACAATTTAAAAAGGTATCAACTTTGGGATTCACTCTGTACATAAAATCGTTTGTTCTGACTGACTGATCTATCAACGCACAGGAAAAACTACTAGAAAGCTAAAATTTGGAACATAGGTTTATTTTATAACGTATATAAGCATCCACTAAGAAATAATTTTTGGAAATTTCAACTTTAGGAGGGGAATGGGGAACTCTGTATGAACCTCTTTGTTCTTTGAAGTTAGGAAAGCATGAAAATTTGATAAGATCTTATAGACTTAATTGTCCATTACCTCAAGCTGTACCTACAGGCCTGAAGATGGTCATGTGTGTGACCGAAACTAAGTTCCCTCCTTTTAAAATTATTGTGGTAAAGACTTTTGAGTTTTTTTTCCTTAATAATAATAATAATAATACTACTACCCTCCCAAATTGAATAAATTTTGTAATTAATACCACAAGATGGTTTTCATGAATCTCATTTTAGAGATAATTTTGTAAATATTTTATTTCAATAAATAACACAGGCCTGCGAAAATTTTGTGATCTAGCCATTTTTTTTTTCGCCTATTTACAATTTCTATATAGCTAAAATAACCCCTTTTTATTTTATCACGTAAACTTTTTTTGTAAACTAGTATCAAGGGTATTATCCTTGAACATCACAAACAAATTAATTTGAATTCCTTATTTTTGTTGAAAACGTTGAGATGCGTTAAAACCTCGTTTTAATTTGCGCATTTGTAGGGGGATTTACCGGTACTTACTAGAATATTGTTGGGGATTCCCGAGACTCGATTTATTCAGGAAAGAGGGCGATATATTTAGTATCCCCGTGGTATTGAGACAGGCGTTGTCTATCGAATTCTATCGGTGCTTCGTTGTGCATTTTCTATTAAAAAAATGTCTAGTAGGTGTTGTAAAAATATGCTTTTGTTATATTTGTGGACACTTTATAGTGAAGAAGTTTAAAAGAAACTGATTTCGTAAAAAATGCTTATTTTGCATATTTTAAAGTCAGACTTAGAGCTCAAGATAAACCTTGGGCGCCACATGTTATCTGCAAGATTTGCGAAGAAGCCTTGAGGCATTGGTTTAAAGGAACAACAAAAGCCCTACCGTTTGGAATATCAATGGTCTGGAGAGAACCTAAAAATCACATTGGCGACTGCTATTTTTGTCTTTGTGATATTAAAGGTCATAACACAAAATCTCTAAAGTATATTAACTATCCTAATCTTTCGTCTGCAATAAGACCAGTTCCACATGAAGCTGATATACTTGTACCTGTTCCACCTAAAGTATTACAGTCTATCGAATCAGAATCTTCAACAGATTCAGAAATTGACATTTTTGAGCCATCTACCTCAGGAACCCGTGAACCGCAGCTATTTTCTCAAGTAGAACTGAATGACTTAGTCAGGGATTTGGGACTTCCAAAAGACCTCTCTGAGGTTTTAGGATCAAGGCTTAAAGAAAAAAATTACTTGCTCCAGGTACTACATTTTATTGGTATAGAAATCGTGAGGCTGAATTTGTCAATTACTTTGCCGCAGCTGGTTCACTTGTATATTGTCAAAATCTATCTGACTTGATTATTCACCTAGGTGCTCCTAAATACAATCCTGTCGAGTGGAGACTTTTTATAGACTCTTCAAAGAGAAGTCTTAAAGCTGTTCTACTTCATAATGGCAATTTATATGCATCTGAACCTGTTGGTCATTCTACTCAGGTAATAAAAGAAAATTACGAAAATATTGAGGTACTGCTTTTAAGAATAAACTACAGACAACATAACTAGATTCTATGTGATGATCTTTTTATTACCCCCTCTACATATAAAATTGGAGCTGATGAAACAATTTGTCAAAGCTCTAGACGGTTATGCAGGAAGACGAAAAAGAAGCATGAACAGCTTTTAAATTAGTTATAAATAAGTTTCTATGAAACTAAGACCCTGAATTTGAAAGTACCTATTGTTGAAAACATGTTGGACAAATTTAGAAAGTTAGGCTGTAACATGAACTTAAAAATTCATTTTCTACATGCTCATCTTGACTATTTTTCACCAGGACATAAAAGAGATGGAACGGCGATATCAAGGGCGCTGGGATATCAAAATGATGGCCGACTACTATTGCATGCTTAAAAGGGACCGTCCTACCGCAGAATATGCACGAAAAACATAAAAGAAGCTTTTCCGGAAAGAGAAAAAGATTTTTCAAGAAAACAAAGGATTAATGTATATTATTTTTTAACTACTTTCCCGGTTTTATTGTTTGTTTTCTTGGTTTATTATTTTCTTTTTTATCCTAAGTAACTATAAATATATTTTTACTTTTTGCATTCTTGTAGTATTTTGTTTAAAAACCTTACGTGATAGAAAAAAACTAAAAGCAGATTTGAAATCAGCGTCACTTAATACCCAATTTCAGTTGAAAAATTTAATTTACATTTTACAGAGTATTTAAACGCAGGCCTGTGTAATGAATTTCATATACAGGATGTTAATTTAATAGGTGAATACAAAGAAAAATGTTCAAACCTGAACACTAACTCACCCCCTTACGAGTGAATTTTAACCCCAAAAGCTGAGCTTGTCCGGGAAAGGGACGGCTATTATTATTATTAGCCGTGGCGTTCTATTAGTTTAGAGTTATGACTAATAGTTCGTCAGATAGTGACAAGTTTAGGTGCCCCCATTTTCGCATACAAGCCTCGAAGTAGAATGAAAGGAAATTTGCGTGTGGCTGCTGGGGATAACACATGGAAAATTCCATTTTCCCTAAAAAAAACGAAAGATTATTTGTTGCCCATTTTTCCACGCAAGCCGTTTTCACTATATGAATAATTTAGAGAACTAGGCTTCGGAAAACCAAAGGCTTTAATGTGACAAGTGGCTAAAGGGTTTAAATAAAAGCGTAATCTTCTAAGGAAAAATCGAGATTTTGCCCGATTTTTCCATACAAGTCCATCGAATGTATAAAAACGTACGTCGTCATCAGTCCGAAAAACATATTATCTTGAATGACCCGAAAGTATAAGTGCATTTTGAGGTCGAAAAATTTGTCTGAAGAAAATCGAATTTTCCATGTGTTATCCCCAAGAGCCACTCGTAAATTTTCTTTTATTCTACTCAACATCGATGTACTTTTCAACCCTCTTCGAGGCTTGTATGCGAAAATGGGGCACCTAAATCGGTCACAATCTGACGGTCTATAAGGCTTCATCTTTAAGTCGCCCCGGAACGCCACGGCAAATAATAATAATAGCTGTTCCTTCCCCTACACAAGTCGACTTCAGGGGTTGAAATTCACTCGTAAGGGGATAAATCAGGGAGAGTATTATTAATATACTATTACTATATTTTGCGAACTGTATAGTTATATTTGTGAGGTACGGGGATGATATTTTCAATTTCATGTAAAGCATTTTACAATAAAAAAAACATGTATGGGTGTATGTTATCGAAATCCTAAAAACTACCATCGCTACATATTTCTAGATATTTTAGAAATACCCATTTTAGAATTATTTCTTCTTTTTATTGTTTTTATGGGCGGCTCACCGGCAGAGCAACTTTTGGTGAGCTGTATATACTGCATATTAAAACTATTATTTCCGTCGTTATATAAATCACCACTCCTAAACTGATGAGACAGATTTTGTGATTTTTTTCACATCTATTACCTTACCATGCTTTTCAGCAAATATTGGTCCGTACCATAAAACAAGACATGAATGCCACTTTGCGCGAGGACACGCGAGAGCGTACGAGGTCATATACTTCAAGTGGGTCTCTCAGAGGTGAAAACAGTTGTTTACTATCACTGTTAGAGTGTCCCATGTTTAAAATAAATGATTGCTCTGAAAAATGTGCCCGGGAATTTTAAAGGTATATCATCTTAGTTGCTAGTGACTTTTTGAAATTTGATTAAATTGTTCAGGAATTTTCAGTGCACCTACATATTGTTTATCTTGTAAGTTTTTTAGAAAAAATACCGTTAAATATCGTGTCCTCTTATTGAAGATTCTGATGGACTACATTTCAAATTTTCGTTTTTAAATATTTTTCAAGCATCTTTTAGCTATAAAATAGTTGGTCGTATCTTTTAAAAGAGAATTGAAAAGTTGTCACAAGTGAATAAAGTGGAATTTTGCATTTTTTTTCATTAAAATTTAAATTATTTTTTATATGACACAATTTCCTGAAAGTGGTTATTCTTAGTGTCTACATATTTGTATTTTCACTGACTTCAATTAGTTATTTATATAGATACTTTTATAGAAAACTTGTTTATATACTTTTTGAAATTGGCGATTTAGTACTTAGGTAGGTATGTCGTTTGCTCTTTCTAGGTTAACAATTCATACCTTTTATTTTACCAATAAGTACCTAATTGAAAAATGTTGACAACCTATTAAGGATAAGAATCATGTATATATAAATAATATACGCAAAATGATAAATATTCCAATAATTTATTAACAAGTTCTGCGAAACTATGTATACCTAGAGTAGTGTGAAATATTTAGAATGGATCAAAAGGAGGCCACGTTATTTCAATTATTGCAGGTGGATATACGAGGGACAGGCTACAATATTTCAAATATGTGATCAGATATTAAAAAACAACGGATGCAATTATTCTAGTTAAAGATATAAACATACGGATTATGGCGCGATTTAATGTCACACAATATTAGTAACATCATGTTTCATAAAATGTTTGATGTAATTAGAAAAGTTGTGAATAACCGATAGATAAATGAATATACATATGGGCCCGTTTATCCATGTAAATATTTATATTTATGCTGAGTAGAAAATAGTATAGTTTGTGCAACAAGAGTAGATATGGATAATCCACTCGAGTTGTACAGTATATTTTTTCTATGACCCACTAACGAAAATCTATAAATTTTAAAAATGATTTTAGTTTTTAAGACAAAATAATTTATGACTTTTACTAATTTATAAAATAAATATAAATAAAAAAATCTTATTGAAACATTGGCAGCGGAAGGGGGGGGGGGGGGGCTGAGAGTGCTTAGCCCCCCCCCCATGGTACTAAGGTAGATCGAATCAGCGCATCATATTTTAAGTTCACTCCACTCTAGCAAAGTAAACCAATCAGCAAAAAGACAAATATGGTTTTAATTTTTTTAAATACAAATTAGAGTTCATTCCTGTTATCACTTTTACACTGCCGAACCGGGCCTGATATTGATGGGTGATATTTCACACACTGTTACTTTTTTACTGATACTAAAAAGTAGCAGGTAACGTAGGTATATTACTAAAGTCGTTACCAAATTGTGACTGTACAAAAAAAAACCTTATCCACGACATTCAAAACGAAATAGTTTGTTTAATCGGGTCGGTGGTGTAGCAGTCTAACGCGCTTATATTCATTTATAGGCAAGTTTATGGTCCGAAACTGCCGGGCTTCGAATCCCAGACCAGACCATGTGGATTTTTAATTAAATTGCATGGTTCGGTATAGGATTTGATGTGTGCCGTATTAATAGAAATTCAATTTCTGTTGATATGACATGCAGATTATAAAACCGCCATGCATTACCGTCTCGATGATGGTGGGTGAGGTTTTCCTCACCTGTAAGTCAAATGACACCATCAATCATCTTTGTCGCCTCGGAGCGCCACGGCAAATAATAATAATAGCCGTCCCTTTTCACGCACAAGCTCAGCTTTTGGGGTTAAAATTCACTCGTAAGGGGGTGAATTAGGGAGAGTATTATTATTATTATTATCAAATACATATAATAATTTTATAAAGAAAAATAAATAAAATTCGTCAGTGTGGATTCTATTCATTAATGGTTGATGAAGCTCGTTGCTACAAAAGTGAACAGTTATCTGTTGCAAGGGCATAGATAAGGAGTAATGGGGGTAATTACCCCCCTCAAGCCATAGTCAACATCAATATTTATTTAAACGTTAAATTAAACAAAAATAGAGAGATAAAATAAATACAATAAAACAAAGAGTTTCTCAAACATTTTCATCTAAAATAATAATGTTCCTGCAAATTGAAAATTAAAATTTATATACAGGGTCCCATTGGTTTTTAAATAGAACACCCTATATTTTATTTTTAGAATGGCTTGAGAATACTGTATTTAACCCTAGAATGTTTTTAAAAAATATTAGTGTTATAAAATACTAAGCTAACGAATAGAGGTGATACAACTGGTTTATTCTATACAGAGTGTTTTGAAACATCTAAAATATGGTTAATTTTAAGTTCAATTTACTCAATTTTTTCAAACGCAACACACTGTATATTATCTTGGCATAAAATTCTCTATAAATTTGCCCATGTAATAATACCAATGTGTTAGTCAATAACACATATACAGGGTGTCCCATTAGTGCATAATTGATCGATAGCTGTTTTATTATTAGAAGTACGAAGAAATGTTTAATATAAAAGTTTTATGACCATATTTAACAAATATTCTTAAATATACAGGGTGGTCCATAAACGAGGTGCTGATCAAATCTATACTTTTTTAAAGCAAAACACCCTGCAGTTAGTAATACAGATTTGATTGTTTTTACATCGTCAAACAATTTTAATTGACTTAATTCATTTAATGTTGTATATAGGGTGTGTCAAAACGTGAGGTTACGATTTTTAAATGGAATACCATGTATTAATTAATTGGTGGTATAACATATAGGTTATTCCATTTAAAAAAATTGTTATCCCTCATAACATAGCAAATAAATGAAGTCTATTACAGTTGTCTGACGATGTGAAAACAAATATAGAAATGTATAAGTGTGGTCAGCTCCTCGTTTATGGACCACCCTGTATATTTACGAATATTTATAAAACATGGTCATACAACTTTTATATTAATTTGATATTATTATTCGTTTTCTGTCCGCTGTAATGCCAATTCTGTATCTTTCACATGCACTTGTGCAAAGCGTATTGGAAGCATTCTATAGTCGATACTGTATAAAAGTAATCAGTACTACATTTTGGAAATACATCCAACATATACAGCTAAAATATGAAAGCCAACCCTGTATTTGAAATAACTTAAAAGTATCGAGTTCATTAATCGCGATATATCCATCTCACTTACAAGAGAAACTCAAGCTGTCTATATACAGTTGGGACGATATCAAAAATAAGCTATTTTTCAAATTTGTTTACAGATTTATGACACAGGCGGTCCCTAAAGCAACTGAAACAATGTCAGAAAATTTCGTGACAGTAGTGTCTGTAGGAGCAAGAGCAAAACAAGAAATTAATGAAAACATAAATTTTGATTCTAGCAGCTCGGATTATGTAACGGTGTTAACAATAGGCGAAGACGAAAATAAAAAAAATATTAAAGATGTTACTGAGGAGGTCATAGTTTACAGATTACCTGGGGAAAGATTGGGATTTGGATTAAAATTTGAAGGAGGCACTAAAGCTAACGAATTTGTCAAACGGTTATTCATCCAATCATGTGCAGCTAATAGTCCAGCATCAAGTGTTAAAAGTTCGTGGGGCAAATTAACAGAAGGAGATGAAGTTTTGGAAATTGACTCAGTTTCTGTTAATACTATGACCAGAATAGATTGCGTAAGATGTCTTAAAGAATCAAACGTTGCCATAAAACTCCTAGTGCGACACACTTACGAAAACGAAGCTAAAGCCAAGACAGTAATACCACCATTAGTAATAAGCGCCGAAGAAAAACGAGTACTGCCTCCTCCACCACCTGTACCACCCAGAAAAATATCCAGAAAACTACTCAAAAATATAAATAACAATAAACCTAAAGAATCAACAGATAATGTAGATTCCAGAACAGTAGAATCTAACAAGCAGAAGAAATTACAGTCTCCGAGAAGCAGTATTCGATCATACAACTCTCCAGATGTATCAAGACGAGACAGAAGGTTTTCTGATGGGAGTCTTGGTCCTCCAGATGCTGAAATATACGTCGATCTCTTCCTTCAGGAATCTACTCAGAGCTTGAGCGAATCTGATGAAACAGGCAGTACGATTTCTACTGTTATTGATCGTTTTGGTTCATTTCCTACCACAACAACTTCTAGTTTTTCTGGAAGCTTACCCTCAACTCCAACTGCAGTACAAAGGGAATTGGATATTTCGAACATAAATATTTATGACGATGAAGACAGCTTGGTGATTATAAAAGGATTAGGAAAACCTACATCACTACCTAGAGAGGAAAATAATAACATTATTTTAGATTATATAAATCCCTTATGTTTCCAAGATGCACCTTTGAGTTACGGTAATGAAAGCACAAAAAATATAATTCCTGATGAAATTGATAGCATTAAAGAAGAATCAGTTATAGCAGATGAAGTTAAACCAGTGTTGAAGAAACCACAAGTACCTCTAAGATCAAAAGATAGTCATTTAATTTCAGAAAAAAATGAAGGAAGTAAAAAGATCCTAGAAAATCTTCCAAGGCTAGTCGATTTTGTACCAAAATCTGTAAATGGAAATGGAATTAAAGAAATCGAAAACTCTGAAAAAGCGATGAATATGTTTTTAGATAACGAAATGTATAAAGCAGATTTTGATTATTACGAAAGGGAAAATGATACCGTTGATAATTTTTCTAATGGTGTCGATTTATACAGTTCAAAATGGAGTTTATCGTCTCAATTAGCTACAATAGGCGAGGTTGAAGAAGAGGAGAATTCCGACTTTAATTTCAACAGGTACGTTTTCTATATGCGACCCAAATCTTCTATTGTTTGTCTATATTTCTTATTCTTTATTTCATACCTCTATAGTTTTTGCATTCTTATAGAGATTATTTTCATTTGTGATATTTTTAATTTGAACTACTAAATTCATGATTTCCCGGAGTTCATCCGCTATAGAGTCAGATTTCTTTGTATTACAGTGATATTTCTAGACGTTTCTAGATGTATATCAAAAAGTGTTAGATGTTTAACTTTTTAATTTAATATATCTATTTAATACCAACAAAAAAAATTTGTCATCAAATGTGACTTTGGCTTAAACACATTAGTCGTATTGTAGGTACATTTTATTGTAAATTCCCACCCGGAAATAATAATAAGGTAATATAATAATTATTTTGTAGACCTCCTTTGAAGTCAACACCCGTAGTAATAGTGGAAAATACTGATAAAAACGAGGAAACAAAAAATCCCGAAGACGAGGATGTAGAACTGAAAACTAAAGGTACGTAATTTTTATATTTTCATAAATATTAATTATTAACGACAAACTCCCATGTACCTGGTACTACGCCCATCGATTTGTATAGTGTTATCTTTATAACGGCAGAATCCACTATTTTCTCCGTAATTACTGAGTACTGTGTCAGTGTTTCCAGTTGTTAGATTCGCTCTGTGTGGAATTATCGCATGATCTTCGGTTTCCAGATCATGTCATCGGGATCAGTTTTGTCTTCTTGAGCTATTGCTTATGTACCATCAGTTCTATAGATGCTATATTGCATACTATTAGTTTTAATCTTATCGTCGACAATTATATGCTACGCCGAAGGGATTCCTTGCCAACTGCTCATGTAAAAACTGTTTCCATGAATGTTCTTTAGTGTTCTTATACATATCAAGTAATCGCTGGTATTCAACTCTTTCATGTGCCCAGTATCTACTTCTGCTTCTTTTCCTTTGGTATTATAAACTTGATTCTTAAGCTTTGGAGATTGCTATTGCACCACGGAGATTGCCTTTTCCTTGACTTTATTTTTGACATACAGATCCTATTCTAATGTATGTGGTCAGACGCGCCGTGTGAGGTTTCTAAACGCACTCCAGTTATATCTTGAAGAGCAGAAATAAGTACTTCTATGAAGTAGTCTATGCTTAATCTGTCAATGAGTGGCAAGCCTTGTAATTCCTCTGTTTGCAAATGCCCAAATTACTGACATTTAAAGCATCTTATAACTGTGATGACCAGTCTATAAATATGTTTTCCATACTTAACAGTTCATTTCTGAAAATTCTCTATAAAAACGTTAGAAAAAAAATGTAATGTTTCATATTTAGTGGGTATGGTATATAGGGTGTTCCATCTCAGACGAGCCACCCCGTATATTTCTTATCCCATAGTAACTGGAAAATTTTCCCGAAACACGTCAGATGATTTTATTTGGGGGACATCTTTTGACGTATTAGACCCATTAGAAATTTTCAAAAACTTTTCAGTCAATAATAAATGACAGCTTAAATTCTAGCAATTAATTACCAAACACAGCACATCTTAACTCTAATGGAAATATAATTAGGGTACTTTTGAATGGTGATATAAAATATAGATATCAATATAAAAATAGGAAATATATTCGGGTTTTGATTCACCCTGTAGGTACATATTTGTTGCGGATTGGAAAAAAAAAGTAAAATGTTACAATTATACTTTTACGGCGAAAAATGTAGGTCATTGAAATGAATACGGTTTTCACATAAAATTGATTATATCATGTGAAATATCATGTACTATTTGGTGTTTTTACAATGGGAAAAGCAACCTAACAACACCCTGTACGTTCCGTATTTTTTTATATCTCTTAGTGCCGATGATTATTAAATTTTTGTCAAAACTGTCCGCTGTTATATAAAGAAGAGCGGTATTGCTTGAAATTAAAAAAAGAATTTAAGAATATTTTATTGAAAAAACGACTCACTTTTCGCGCATGCGCTGTAGCGGCAGAAATGATGGGTTTCCGGAAAATCTGTTTGATTGATAAGTTCGATAAGAAATTTTCCGCTTTAGAACTTTGCTTTGACGAAATTTTCCACCAAAGTGTGTGGTTTTTATGTAAAATGCGATAAACCGCAAAATATATATACATTGTTTTCTTTTGGCGCGCTCTAGCGGCAAAAATATGAAGTTTGCCAAAAAATGTATAAGCACATAATCGATAGAAAATCGTTTGTTCTTCAAAAAAAGTCCAGTAAAATTTTTCATGAAAACGCATCGTTTTTGAGTAAAATACAAAAAAAAAATAGGAAAAACGCCGAAAAATGTATGTATTTCTTCCAATCATTCTTATCTCTGCCCATAGTGAAATTTTGTCCAAAGAAGTCAAAACCTTTGTTATCTGGGTTTCTATGTTGTACTAAAAATTTCGCCTTAAAAACCTAATTCCGGTGGACTATATTTTTGTGATATCTCAAAAAATAAACTTTCTTAAGCACCACAAAATTGTGTAAAAAAAATTACTTTCCAGTTTACAAATTGGACATATATTTCCCGTGAAATATCGTAATAATACACATCCTGTTTAATTTAAATCGTAATATATGTGAACTACCCCGTATATAGGGTGGCTAGTATTTCCTTAAACGCCTGTATATTGCTGCTAGCAATCGGTCCTCCTATGTGGTAGAGTAAATAAACGTTCAATATCCTTTTAACCAAAGGTTTGCAACTGCCATTGAACAATTTAAAATGCAGTTACAATGTGATCGACAATCCGTACCACAGCAAGCCTGATGCCCTTGACTCAACGTCCACTGACCTGATGCTTGTGCTCTGCGATCTGTGCTTGCCATTTCCCCACCTCCATCTCCAATTCAGTTAGTCTCTTTTACTTGTGCAAACCCAAACAGAAATACTTCGACAATTGCCAAAATAGTGTCCATAGCTCTATTTTTTAAACTTTATAAATTAAATAAATTAAAAAGACCATAGTGAGAGCGAAAATCGTGAAGAAAAAGACGTGTATTAAAATTAACAATAGCTAACCCGAAGAAAGAACTATTCTTACTGTCTGTAGTGTCTATTGGTTCTTTTCGAAATGAATTTTGTGTTTAATGTAAACTCGATTTTTTTCTTTGATGCGTTATTTTAAACCTTACCGCCGCGCCGATTACTATTGAAACTATCGGATTGAATAAATAAATAATTAAATAAAATAGGTATGGTTCATAGTGACTACTTCTGGATTATATGCCAATACGTTGTGGTAAATATATTTTTTATTTTTATTCTCAATTTCAAATAAATTTGGTTCCGGAACAAAGAACTTTTATTGGTAACTTTAAGGAATGTTGAAACTGTAAATGAGTGATAAATGTATTCGACGTTCAGTCTATTGTTTGTTCGATTTTAAAATAGGTGTATCAATCATATCGAATGGATCAAACCACCTACATATTTTTAATGAGTTACAAGAAATAGTGATAGGTAACAAAATGCCATTTTAAATCGCTTAAGTGTGGATTATGCATGAACGTCGTCGCAGTAATACTGTAAAAACACCGGAATATTATGAAAACACCAGTAACATAAACTTACGTCAATAGGCTTCGCAACCTGCAATATTTGCGGATAAGTGCTATTTTAGGAATATTGTAAGGTGATATTTTTACAATATTACTCATTTGTCGTCTTACTGATATTGTGAAAGTCATATACCTATTTAATAGTTTTTAAACCATATAAACTGAAAGATGTAACAAAGTTGCTTCGCTTCTAAATTATTTTTAATTAAGCATGAACTCATTTTCATATTTTTATGTATCCTAAGTCAACAAATAAATAACATAAAGTAATATAAATTAATGACAAATAAGATATTTTTCATAAAATCAAAAAGTTTTGGCTGAAGCGTTTAAAGCAGTTAAAAAAATTCGCAATATTCCTGAGGTAAATTCATTAAACGAAGATTTACGAGCCGAGACAACTATTTTCTACAATATTAAAATCTTTACAGAAACCGAGAATAATAATACAGGGTTGGGATAAAGTATGGAACCAAGTAAATATCTTTACGACACTGTACGAATTCGAAATAACAAGATTTTTTAAAATCTGCAAAAATATACAGGGTGTCCCCTTTAAATTAAAAAAGTTGAGGGTATTTCCGGTAAAACCGGAAGTACAATAGTAACAAAAAATATGGCATCAGATGCGTTATGCGTCATTGTACTTGTCTGCACAGTTTCATAAATATCGTCCTTTTCGTTTTAAAGATATTTACTTGGTTCCATACTTTATCCCAACCCTGTATGTAATTAATGCATTTTAACGCACTACCCTTCAATTTATTTCTTAATTATTCCATAGGAAAAGTAAAAATAATAGTTTTATCTGTTTTTAGATTGATGATTAATTGCCAGATTTTTGAGAAAATTATAAAATTTAATTCTTAAATAGTTATCAATTTATTTTTTGGTGTGAGTGGGAGCGAAATTTACTTTTTTCTTGTGCATTTAAATTAACAAATTAATTTTGATGTCTCTTAAGTTTATTAATTATATAATTAATAATTTAGACAATTTTATCAGTTTTTTTAACAATATTGTTAGATTTTTAATAAAGTCGATTGTCGATCAATGTCAGGCAGTGGCTGCCGCGGTGATTTCGTTCCTTTTTGGATCGCGTACCGCTTATTTGGCGCACATGCGTGAGCGACCGAATGATTATAAGAGCGCCAAATTCAAATATTTTAAATATAATCTAACAATATGGACAAATAGTTGAAAACTGAAATAAAATTCAGTAATTTACGGTACATATCATAGGCGTCGGAACTCAAAAATTGCTTTGGGTGCCCGGCCTTTATACGGGAAATGGGGGCTCCCTTCCCCCTCCACACCCCATTTAGGGTCACCACCGGTTTTTTAAAAGCACTATAGAAAAAAAATTAATTTTCAAAACATATGTAGTGCTAAACGATTGAAAATAAAAACAATGATTGATTAAACCAAGGAAATTTTTATTTATACAAAAATATACTTATATATACAGTTAAAAAATAATCAACTGTATACTTAGCTTCAAAAATTTTTTCTCCACATTTAACGGACATTGCCTATCTTGTGGTTTACGAGATTTCTGTATATATAAATTAAATCCGGTCCTCCCTGTATACTATACGTATGTACAATACATGTACAAGGTGTAACAAAAAGATGCAAGGTAAATTGAACCCCCAGATGTTCCGACTCTGCCCAAAATCTAATCAGGTCCGCGGGCCGGAATAAAGCTTGAGTTAAAAATTTGGTGTTTTTCTTTGTATCCGTTTATGAGTTATCGAGGATACAGACACACAGACATCATCGCGAAAATAGTCAAAACAGATTCAGGGGACTTCAAAACGTAAAAATCCGTCGAAAACTAGAGGTCGAAAAAAATCATGATTCCTGTACTTTCTTTATCTGTATACAGATAGGAAAGTAAAAATGGATGGTAAAAAACTTACAGGGTGTTAGAGTAGAAATTTTAGAAGTGATTTTTTGCTCTTACTCTAAAACGGCTTAACATAATTTTATGTACGTGGGATGTAAGCATACGGTGAGCAATAAAATGTAGTCAGTGGCGTTCTGCACCCCTTTGACCCCTTACTTTTTTAGACAATGAAATTCAGTTAAAAACAGGATGCCACTGAAATCCTACATCTGTTTTGAAATTTTTTTGCCTCTTTGTATTTGTTTGTGAAGACCTTAATTACTGACTTATAAGCCCCTGAAGGAAGGTCGTAGTGAAAAATGCAATGAATATTTGTTCACGATTTTTTCTACTATTTTACAACTTCATAAATGATCGATATAACAAGGAAATAATTGTAAATGAAGTGATAAAATAGTAAAAAAAAAATAAGGAACACATTTTCAGTGGTTTAAGATCAATAGAAAAAATTCTTTGTGAATATTTTGTTCCAACACGCGCAAAAACCGTAATATTACCGTACAAATCGTGCGCTCTACCCAAAAATTGTATACAGCGCATTATTTGTACGGTAATATTACGGTTTTCGTGCATGTTGGAACAGACCTTTTAGTTTTACACTGGTGCTATCATCCTAATCCGTCTGTAGCCTGGAGGCACTGCAGCCTGCGACTTATTGTACCACCAGTTGAAGGTCCTAGTACTTTCCCATTTACCAATTCACTCCCTCATTCATTCCACGTCGTCGATGGTTAAACGCTAGTCAACTAAGTCCCATGGTGAAACGACGTGACTAGAGAGATCATTGCTTAACGGTTACCAGAATGTGGATGCACACTAATCTCTATGCCTCACTATGACCTTCCTTCAGAGGCCCATAACTCGGTAATTAGGGCTTTCACAAACAAATACTAAATGACAAAGAATTCACCGTAGATGTAGGATTTCAGTGGAATCCTCATTTTACCTGAATTTCTTGTCCAAAAAAGAAGGGGGTCTACAAATCTATAGAATTTTATTGTATCTCATGTACATTTTCATAAAAATATGTTAAGAAATTTTAGAGTAAGAAGAAAAAATCACTTATAAAATTTTTACTTTAACACCCTGTAAGTTTTTTACTAACCATTTTTGATATAAGCAAGTTAGATTAAAACGGCTTATTTTCGATCCCAGTAGATCCGATATTTAGCTGTCATATGTGTATTTATAATTTATTTAATCCAGCATAAATTTTCATTTTGTGAGACTTTTTGTATTTAGAAATTGTTTAGAAAAAAACGGTAGCGTCATAGAGTATAGTTCAAGTACCTACGTTGAATTAGAAACCTTATTAAAAATTAAAAAAAGTACTATCAAGAATACAAAGAAATGAACGACTAATTCTCAATAAACTGAAACCGTTTCATCAAATTATCTTGAATGTTGTGGCATACTCATATATGAAGGTAAATATTTGAATAATAATTTGGTATTTTTTTAAAAGTTAATATGTGTCATAAAAGATAAGTAATAATCAATCATGATAAAACCAGTTTTTTTATGCAAAAATGTCGCTAATACCCACTTATAATAAATTAAAAATATCTATGAACAATGTTGCTTTATGCGTGGAAAAATGTAGGTGTCAGTTACAGTTGCATTTTTATACAACTAATAATCAGAAATATATATTATCACATCTGCATTTACTTCTAAAGGTGAAGGTAAAGGAAATTTTGCATAAGCTTGGTTTGAATAAATATATTCCATATCGAGTTAATGCAATGTTTATTCAACTGGCATGTACCAGGAAAATCATATATAAAATATTAAAAAAAAAATAGTTTATCTTGGCAAAATTATCTCTTATCATAGAATCGCAACAAATATGGGTATTAATCAATAATAATTCGTTATTTATCCATAAACGGTTGATGTTTTGTGCAAATCGGTAATGATCACTTTTCTATATATGTTTATATTATAATTATAAGTGCCTTTAGTTTCATTAGTTTTTCAAGTTTTTGAGTGGATATTAACCAGAGGATAGAAGGATACAAACTATATCATACAAACTAAAAATATTTAAAATTAAATGAGTAGTAGAGGTAATAATAGATAGCTAACAATAAAACATCGAGAACAGTACAACATTTATCACTAAGACTAAAAGGTATATTTTTTTTGTGGCTGGTGGAAAATCTTTTATATGAGGTCTTTTCGGACCCGTGGTAGTGTATTTACAGAGTGGAAGTGGTAGTGCTGGTTTACCCACTAAAAACCACCATTTTAGTTCACCTAGCAGCACTTCACGGTACCGTCAATCTTGAAGGCCGTAAATATCCTCAGTTTCTGATACTCTCTACTTCTTCCTTGGTCTTTAGTATTTATTTTAGCACGATTCGTATTATTTCCCAATTTTCCTTTGTGTGCATCATTTGCTTAATAAAATATCTGGTGTTATGTTCTCACTCACTTTGTACCTTACAAGCTCCTTAATCTCTCTCCACTTTTCACATACAGTCTGTTCGCTATACTTACGCGGGTTTTAGATTAAAAATTTTATGAGTATTTCCAGGTAAGTACCCGAAAGTTTGACTTGTTCTTTGGGGAAACATCAACTGGTTAAATGAAATGAAAAATAATGTACAACTTTTTAATTAAATAATAATGGAGAATCTTTTGTATAATTGAGAGCAGAATTAAACTTCTTCATAAATTTATAAACCTAATAATAATTTTATATTACACTTCACACAGAAAATATGCCAACAAAAATGAAAATCAGTCATTATCATCCAAAATATCATAATCGTCATCATCATCACTGTCATCACCATTAATTGTTATTATGATTGGACTTATTTCGTTTATTTTATTTTCACGAGTCCACCAATCTTCTATTAGTTTCTCGCACTTGGATATACAGTTCCGCCACACTTTTGGAGTTGCAATTGAAAGTGCTTTTCGCCAAGTTTCCCGAACTGCTTCGTCACTATAACCATTAGGCCCAATATGGTTGACATAATATTGTTTTGCTATTCCCCATATATATTCAATGGGTTTAAACTGGCAATGATACGGTGGCAGACGTAAAACTTGATGACCGTAACTTTCAATAATCTGATCCACAACAAAGGTTTTTGGTTTTGCGTGTATATTTGCCAAGCGTAATAATTCTGATTTTAATATATATTGAGTATATGTTCCTTTGTCAACCATTCTTTAATTTTATCAACTGTCCAAGAATTCGTTGGACTTTTGTTTAATACTTCAGAATGGTAAGGTGCATTGTCTAAAATAATTACGCTGGGCTCACTTAAACCTGGGAGAAGTTTTTCATGCAACTACTTTATAAATATTTCTGTGTTCATATTATCGTGATAGTCACTGGATTTTGATTTAGATGAAAATATTAAATCAGCACCTTCTATAAAACCCGATTTCCCTCCTGCATGTAAAATTATGTGTCAATTCCCTTCTCCATCGGTATGTTTGATGGACTTTACGTTATCATCTTGCCATATTCTCTTGGTTGCACCCCTAGAAAATATCCATGTTTCGTCTAAAAATATAAAATTCGCCCCTTCTTCTTTAAATTTAGAATATTTTCTTAGAAAGTTAATTCTCTTGTGCACGACAAAACTTCTTTCACAAAGGGCCTTTCTGTTATCCTCCTTTTGAAATTTGAAACCCAAGTTATGTATCACTTGTCACAGACTTGTTTTGCCAATGTCGTCAAATTTTCTATCTATTAATTCCGAGAGAATTGTATTTAAGGTCACATGTTCCTTGTTGGCCCTCATTCGATAAATGGTATCACGAATTTCAAATTTCTTTCCATCTGGAATATCTTTCGTTTTCAATGATGGACGAGTTTTGCGGTGATCTTTTTTCGGCAGTTCACTATTGTAATTTTGTAATACTCCTCTTAATTTGGTTTCACTAATTCTTAGAGCATCGCATACGCGTTGTTGTACAGACATTACCGATTTTAAAGGACCGCCATTTTCTTTTTCATCCGTAAAATACTTATGTACACTACAAATTAGACTATCTACATCTAACACACGTCTAGGCATTTTTAAAATTTCCACTAAATTTACAATATACATACAATGTCAACACTTGCAAAGAATCAATTCAACTGCAATATTTGTAACAAATTTAGTATTTACCCTAATGTTGTTTTAATTTAAATCTGACCATTAGGGCAATTTTACCTACTTTCTTGGGAATTTTGCTAATCCGAAACCCGCGTAAGTATAGCGAACAGACTGTACAAATATGTTATGCTCAGGTATATCGAATTACCCACAGTACGCGTCCGTTTCGGTTTTTTTAAATTGTTTTACGTACAAGCCATAATGTAGTAGTCCACATTTAAGTGCTTGCATTTCAGTTATTTAGGTATGAGATAAGGCGTTCCGTCCACTGCCCTTTATTCCTCCTTTGTTACTATTTTTCAATTGTCTTTTTTTATGTCTGTAACTGTCTCGTCTTGTTCTCTGTCATACATCTCCTTTTTTTCTTCTGGTATTAATTATATCGGTGGTATTCCAGTAACACCTGCAATGACACTGTAGAAACCATTTTAACTGCAGTAGCCACTCTAATTAGAGCCTTGCGTTGCGTCCTTTTTTATTTTCTGTGCATCTGTCCATATAGAGCACTGAATGAGCTACTTCCCACAATACTGCTCTCTTACTACTCTTTGGGTATCCGATTCTAGGTTTCAAGTTCGTTCTGTTCTCAAATTGATTTTTTTTATTACAGAAACTAATGGAATTATGGAAACTCTACCAAGTGACCCCAGAGAGCCACCAGATGGACATGAGTTTCCAGATTTCATAGAGATGCACAGCGAATCCCTTGATGAAAATTACTACTTCAAAAAAGAGCCCCACAGCACAGCCTTCGATGCCGATTTTTCGAAACCAGACTTTTCTAAACAAAGTGGCCTAATTAACAGCCAATCTGTAAGCACTTCAAGTACTGATTTGAGACCAAAAATATCAACGGAGGATTTGAGCTTTAACAAATTTGAATCTGAATCGAACTTGCTTCATACAAGATCACAAAGTTTAATAGATGTATCCGCCTTAAACAAACAAAAATATACTAAGTGGAATCAGATGTTCGAGCAGAGAAGAAAAGGTCTTTCAAAATTGAAGGGTCTCGTAATACCAGAAGCAGTTGAAAGTGATTTTTTATCAAATGTGAATATACCAGAAATAAAAAGCCAAACCACACCAGCAGCAGCAGCAGCAGTATTTTGCCCGGTGCCAAAATTAGATACTAGTTTCCAGGCAGCAGAAGAACTTTCTTCGAGCCACCTTGATTTAATCAAATCTTCAGTAGTAATGCCGTCTTGGTCCTCAAATTCTTCAAGCAACGTTCCAAAATATTCGCCAGCATTTAGGAGAAAAAGTCTGCAAGTATATCTTACAAGTATTAATAAAAGTGAGAATAGTGAATATACGAATAACGTTGATTATATTAAATCTTGTGATAAAAGTAGTCCAAAAGGAAGTAAAATTAACGACGATGATTTAAATCCGCCAAAATCGTTAGAAAGCATTTCGTCTCCCACTAGATCCGATTGCAGTTTTGACTATGTAAGTTCAAATAAAAAAAGAAACAAATCCAGTACTGATATTTTCCAAAAATCCCCAAGTGGAAAGGGAGAAGACGAAAGTGATAATGATTCGGCTGTAAGTTCTAGCCAATCTAGCTATAACTCCAGATATTCTCCACCACCTTCACCTACCAGATCTTGTGAATTGAATAATTACTATAAGAAAATAGATGAGGATGACAGTAGTTCTAAAAACCGATTGCTAAAACCATCTAGCGTTGAAGCAATAAACAGAAAGAACATCTTAGCTTCTGCAAAATGTAGAAGTGGAAAGGATTTGAAAATAGGTTCACCAGTCATAAGAAGAAAACAAGAAGAAACGCAAGTAACTGAAATTCAACAGAACGGTAATGAGGTAGAAGAAAAATTGATAGTAAGAGAAACTATAGCAAATGAACAGCCATCAAATGTATCTGTTACATTTGAACCAACAATTCAAGTCGGAATTAGTAATCAAGAAAAACCTACGAAACTTCTGACATTACAATTAGCAAAACCGTCAAAAGAAGTACCAGATGCTGGTAAGTTATTTACTATTACAAGATAACACTTTACTTTTCAAATTAAATAATTTTTTTGAAAGAGATAATTTATAAGTGTGTATAAATTAAACTTTATTATTATATATGAAAAATGCTATTCGCATTAGAATCTTCAGACGTCATCGACGATATAAGTATATTTACATCCTATAAGGATTTTCTATTTGATACTGGTTTTAAATTTCAATTGCTCTGACATTTAAGAATTTTCTGTTCAATTAAACCAGAGTTTTTTTTTTAGCTAACACCGTACCATCTTCAAAAATAATCTTGAAGCATATTTCCCCAATAATACCAGACACCAAAAAAATAGCCATGTTCAATATTAACTCCAAATCAAGGAAACTAGCTCCAATTAACGTTAAATCACTGAAACAAAGTTTCGAAAACCTGACCTCATCACTTCATGTGCCACAAAAAGTTCCTGTTTTTAAACCTATCGTGAAAAAATGTAGTAAAGTAGAGAATGCCATAGTCGATAATAAAGTTTCAGCCTGTAGTAATGGAACCGTTCAAGAGTCTAGAGTGGACAAAATTCAAATTCCCACATCTCAGAAGACAAGATCAGATGTGGAAAATAAGTCCATTGTTTTGAAACCTGATTCAAATGGGACTAGTTTGGGAATAAGTATATTTGGAGGAGCAGATGAAAATAAAGATATCACGGTAAATTGAATTTCAACTTGGGCTTCATATATTTTTTTAGTTTCTTTAGTAGGTGGCTGAGGGAATTTTCTTTCTCGACCTACCACCATACAGCTATTTCATGTTTGAAAGAGTTTGAAGAGGATGTTTGACTGATTACAACCAGCTAATATTGATTTATTTTACTTTAAATTCCTATTTAATTAATTGTATGAATACGTTGAGACACTTTTTTCCAGATCAATCGCATAAGATATGCTAGCATAGCGTACAGTGATGGTCGTCTTAAAAAAGGAGATAAAATCATTTC